CAGCTTGACTCTCTTCCGCACCACATACACAAACTGTCCAACTGTCAGATCAGCAGGAACCAGATACCTACATCATACAAAGAGGGGACAAGAGATCTTCATCCATATCAAACATGCTCATCTCTATAATAAAGATCAACATTCCAGCAAATTTACTTATTTTCCCAGTTTTTTAAGGATATTTTTCACAGCCAATTGTATTTGAGGGTAAGAGCAGCCATCCAATCTTCCAAGTATTTACAATGAGGATACTACCACTAAACCAAAAACCATCCAAGACTTGACACTTAAGTTTGATAAGCAAAGTAAGTACATAGCTCTAATCCATATAGATACATGATGCACATATACATCATTCTTATGAGTTGTTACATGAGATTTCAACATTATGAACATTCAACTGTTAGCATTTAAGCTTCAATCAAACCATGTTGTCACTATTTCATCAAAATCAAATTAGCCCAGTTTTACTGTTTCCAATATTCAAATTTATTGGTGAGCTTCACATCAATGAACTCATATAAACGGTCTTCAACTTTACTGATATAATAATAATTCATCATAGATAATAACCCCAAAAAAATCAGCATAGCAGTGACCCTTATTTCTCCCCAATACAGTGCATAATATTAGTTTTGGTATTCTTAACTATTTTCCCATCTTACCTTATCCAACAATACCATTATTAAGCATTGAACACATCTCTCAATGCTTCTGGTTGCCATGTTAAAACTAAATAATATTTGGTAGTTCAGGAACATTTTAAGTTGATGCAACTTGCATAGAAGGAAAACACTCAAACTTCGATAGGTTCCAGAATCCAGCCAAACCACAAGGAAAATATAACCACAATGTATCAAGTCCAAGTAAAAGTAAGTAACTGTATGAAACTACATTTTTCAAATTACAAAGTAAAATCTGATATTCAAAACTTTAACATACTACACCAGATGACCGAGACAACGTTGCCAAGGATCGTGCACCAGATGGCCAAGCCAGCTCTCTTCCTGAGCGAGACAACAAGGTCGAGACTTACACCTGCCTGACTCAAAGTCAAACTTCCTCCTCTCATCACATCAAACACAACTTACATCAAGCCCACTCAAGTCTACATCAGGCCCAACCTCATCCTCATCATACTCAGCCCATTCATGACAAGATTTCAGTTACTTGATTATCAAGCAAACACTCCTCTTAGCTCATCTATCACAATTTAACATGTGTTTATTATTTTGCACATGTTAATTAGTTTGTTATTAAGTTAGTTGAGGGAGTTAGTCTTTTTCCAGATTGTATAAGTATGGCTGTTTGGTAATCTTGTAGTATCTTTAAATTCTTCATTAAATCAATAAAGCTCTAGAAATATTTTTCATTATTCTTTCATTCATTTATTGTTTCCTGGATCACCAGATCTGTTTCACCATCCATCTCTACATGCATCAATTGGGTTGACAAGGCAGATGAAGTATGGGAAGAGCTTAAGGAAAGATTCTCACAAGGAAACCTCCATAGAATTGCAGATCTTCAAGAATCAATAGCTAGCCTCATGCAAGGGGATCCCATTGTGACTAAATACTTCACTGAAATAAAGACCCTCTGGGATGAATATGAAATTTTCAGACCACTCCAAAACTGCACCTGTGATGGGAAGAGATGCAGACTGGAAGACAAAATCATCAGGTTTTTAAAGGGTCTCAATGACAGCTATGCAGGACTAAGGTCTCAGATAATGCTAATGGATCTTCTTCCTACCATGAGCAAAGTGTTCTATTTAGTCATACAACAAGAAAGAGACCTGTATCACAATGACATAGAATCAAAAACCATGAGCATTTGAACTAACTAGAAAAGAGGAGGTTCATCCAACAGAAACAGCAACACAAGCAAAGGATTTGGAAAAGGAAATTCACCATCAGGATATGCAAGGAATTCTTGGAATAAACCTGCAAACTCAGGGAAATTCTGCACACATTGTAAAAAACCTGGACATACTATTGAGGTCTGCTATAGATTACATGGCTTTCCACTAAATTTCCAATTCACCAAGGGTGAGCAAGTGAATTCAGCTATATCAAGAAGTAACCATGAAAGTAATTCCAACCAGCAAGAAGATGATAGCAGCATGTTTAGCCTGACTAAGAAACAATATCAAGAACTTGTCAACATACTACAACACAATAATCAGAGAAACAGTGAATCCCCTGCTGCAGAAAAAGAAGTCAATGTGCTCTCTGGTACATCAAAACCAGATAATCTGGAAGATGAAGGTACATCTACAACTCAATGGATACTAGATAGTGGTGCTACTGACCACATCTGTTCCAATATTTCATGTTTTTCTACTTGCTACAAAATAAGACCTATCAAGGTCAAGTTGCCAAATGGTCAAATCATTTTGGCTAAAATCTCTGGAACAATACCAATCTCAAATCACTTAATCATATACAATGCTTTATATCTACCATCTTTTTCATATAATCTCTTATCTATACCAAAGTTAACATCCCAATCCTCCTGTATCCTATCATTTACTGCATCTCATTGCAAAATACAGGAGAGAGATTCCTTGAAGATGATTGGTATAGCTAGGATTTCAAGAGGCCTATATGTGTCGAAGGGAGCCAAGCTTGATCACAATACAAACTTTTCTTTCATAAATAGTTTGAGTACTTGTAAATCTAATCTTTGACATTATAGATTAGCTCATCCCTCTCATCATTGTATGGATGCTATTAAGACTTCTTTTCCTTTTGTCACTTTCAATAAAACTTACATATGTGACATTTGTCATCAAGCTAAACAAAAACAGCTCCCTTTCTCATTAGGCAACACTATCTCCCTTTTCTTCCTCCTCGAATCACATCAAACACAACTTACATCAAACCCACTCAAGTCTACATCAGGCCAACCTCATCCTCATCATACTCAGCCCATTCATGACAAGATTTCAGTTACTTGATTATCAAGCAAACACTCCTCTTGGCTCATCTATCACATTTAATATGTGTTTATTATTTTTCACATGTTAATTAGTTTGTTATTAAGTTAGTTGAGGGAGTTAGTCTTTTTCCAGATTGTATAAGTATGGCTGTTTGGTAACCTTGTAGTATCTTTCAATAAAGCTCTAGAAGTATTTTTCATTCTTCTTTCATTCATTCATTGCTGAAGTGTTATTCACTTCATCTTTCTTCATTTACAAAGGCATAGGCTTGTGCGTGGGTGTTCCATCTTGAATGAGTTCTTAGCCATAGCAACAATTCTGCAACATAAATTTTTTAGGGGGAAAACCTAATTATAAGATTAGGGTTTGGTATAACGGTAGAAATCGATCGAGGAAGGAAAATAATTCCAATAAATGGAATGAAATTTGGAGAGGAAGTGAAAATCAGAGATATTGCTTAGCCAGAGGAGTTAGTCAAAAGAATGAATAATATATATTATTATACCTACCCTTTCTTATAAGAGATTTGATTTAGAAACCTATACTCAATGATTGCGTTTTTGCTAGGATAATCTAGAGTCCTAATATAGTGGTATATATTATCAATATTCTTAAGATATACTTATATTAGGATCAACTTTAATCCTGTATAGAAATGAAACACATAATAAGTGAGTGTAATATCTATATAATAATAATAGTATAAAGATTTATATAGAGACAATCTAACTTTCACTATTTATTTATTTAAGAGTTAATAATTATTGAAAGACTAGTAAATACTAAAGTGAGACAATATTGTAAATAGGAATTGATTGGATAATTAGATTCCAATAAAAAAATGGTTGTGATTTGATATATAAAATACCTAAATTTTACCTTATATATGATGTGTGATTTAAATATATTTTTAGGTTTCATGTTTTTGTGAACAAGCAATGATGGGGAAAAAACTATGACATGTACATGTGAGATCAAACTAACACACATTACAAAGAAACAAGTTTAGACATATTTAAACAAGGGTGAAAATCTATTTACTCCACATCTAAGCCATCAATTCTAGGAAAATTTAATTATTTAGATCTATTTACTAATTCACATCATTGGATTTTCCTAGAATTGATGGTTTAAATATAAAATAAGTTTAAAAAAATTATTATTTAAATGAGTGAATCTCTTCTTTTAACAAAAACTTAATGTAATACAACTACTACCTTGCCTTATGCCTTAGTGCTATTATTACTAAAATTAATCAATCATGCTTCAAGTTTTTCAATATTCCTTATAAAAGCTAGCTCTATAAGCATCAATGCCCTTTTTAACCATCGTATTAGGTAAAAGAATCGGAGGCAAGGTAACCATGTGAGAAAACCATACACAGATGCATCAAATGCATATATAGTGGAATTACTGAACCTACGAAGTGCCTCATGAGAGGTTGGATATGATCGCTATTATGTGTACCCCATAAAAGCAAAGGTTCTTTTTCACTGTTTGATACATAAATGCTGATTGAACAGAACCAAAATCCCTCTCCCTCTACACCATAATCCATAAATGCACCACCATTAATAGCTACAAATTTGTCTCCTTCTCTCTTCCTGTACCTCCTATAAATTAATATTCCAACTTACTTAGTTGCTAGGTTGTTGAGAATTTAATGCAACTTCTTCAATGCTACACTACTACTAGCCATATTTTGTGGTATCTCATGTTGTGTACTACCTTCTTTAAAACTTAGAGTAATCTCTCTCACTCTCCTTCTATCTTATCTCTCAGTCTCTTGTTTTGTCTACAACTCCACTCAATATGTCGACCCCATATCATGTTTCTTCTCCATTCATAGATCACTGTCACTACCCTTCTTGTTTATCCTCAAGTCATTTAAATCAAGGGTTATATGTATGAATGTTACATTATTAAAATCAACACTACCACCTTTCAAATTAAAAACATGAAGGGTCCCTTTCAAATTTTTGTTTATGCAATGCTTTGGTGTACATCTAGTAGCCTTCGTGAATGCTTTGGTGTACATCTCACAATGAGGACTATGGGTAGCGTTTAACGGGATATTGGTGCGGTTCAATAAGAAAGTAATGCTCAAAAATATTTGGTGCCCTGCTTTTTGATTGAGTCGTGCCAATATCACGCACCACCCTCATAACACCCCTGAAGACCTCTTATCAAAGGCTTAAAGGTGGTTATTGTTTTTGGGTTCTTGGCCTGCTTTTTTATTCCAAGATTTCAGGTTGTCATCTTCATCATGCTCATTTTATTTCTGTTTTTCTTTTAAGCTTTAACCCTTTTCTTTTCCTTGAATAACAACATTTTCTTCTCTTCTTTTGAAGTATTTTTTCCCAGACGTTGTTGATTTATGGGGCGTATTTGATTTTGAGTCTACGTTCTACATTAAACTCTTCTTTTAAGTTATAAATCAGGAAATAATCTGAAGCATGTGGAATATTGTGTATTATAACCACATATGACAACATATATGCGTATTATTCTTTTTAGGTAAACAATTAAGAGTGCACTTATCTTTGGTTTAATCTAAAGTACATTGTGTTCTTAAAAGATGAATGTATTACTGTTTTCTTTAAAGAAAACTCAATCTATAGTAGCATTGTCCATATTATTTAAGCTACAATATTTTTTATCACACATACCTTGAACACTTATCACTTATCTTAGCTCATATATACTTGTTATCAATTACCAGAGTTTGGTGAAAACTAGAACATGGAAGCCTTGTGCAGTATTTGTAGTCTTAATCGTTACGGCCTCTCTGCTTCTCTCTTCACTTGGATACATATCTTTTTTGTTTGGGTGTACACTTAAATTTGTGTATGAGAAAAACGTGTCTCCTAAATTAATACTTGAAAAAAATGTCAAATTGACCTTAGGGATTTTAAGGCGAATTTGTTAAAATTAGTCTTGAAGACAACATTTAGGAATATAATTGATCTTTGTTATGAATTATTTCCATGAATATTTGAAATTCTTGCAAATAAAACTGAGTTATCAAAAACTGAATTAGGAGACATTTTTTAGAGACTGGTTTGAGTATTTACGTTTTTTTAATAATAAGGTAAAAGAGAAATGAAGCCAATTTGGTAAAGTTAGTCCATAACCAATACTCAAGTAGTATGGAAGTAAACCAAAACAGAGAATCTTAGGTGCCAGAAGGTTGACTCCCAAAAAGTTTGTAACTTTATGTCTCGTCATTTGCTTAAAAAAAATATTTAATTGTTAAATTTTTAATTTAAATATATTGTTTTAACCGATCACTGATACATAGCGTAATACTCTTTTAAGGACAAAAGATGTGTTTCCTTCATTGGGTAATGAATTAATTACTTTCGGAATGCATGTCTAACATTTACAACAATTGTCGCTTACATCTTGAACTTTTTGTGTTTTTAGAGATCTAGCAATATCTTATACTATTGGATCAACATATTGTTGTTTCATAGTCCCTTTTAAGCCTTCAAAACAATACTATTAATAAATTTGTTAAGAATTTTGGTATAATGATATAAGGATTATATATAGATATAAATAGAAAAAGAATGGAGATGCAAATTCTTGATTTTGTATTTATATTTATGAGTAAAAATGTTATATCATTATATTTAAATAATAAAAGTGTCATATAATCATATATTGTCACGTTGTTTTGTATGTACTTACATCTCAATTAATAAATTAAAGAGTATTTTGGTATAAAATAATACATTTTATTATGACTAAAAGGATATGCTTATCTACTGGTATTGGAGCTAAGCAGGGACCAGATCAACACTAAGCAAAATGACCGAGCCCAACTAAGCATGACCAAGACAAATGACCGAGACAACCAAGGTGTGACTAAGCCAGATGACCGAGATAGGCGAGACGTGACTAAGTCAGATGACCGAGATAGGCGAGGCGTGACTAAGTCAGATGACCGAGACAGACGAGGCGTGGCCGAGACAGACGAGGCGTGACCGAGTCAGATGACCGAGACAGCCGAGGCATGACTAAGCCAGCTGACCAAGACAGGCGAGGCGTGACTAAGTGAGATGACTGAGACAGGCGAGGCGTGGCTGAGTCATATGACAGACACAGACGAGGTGTGACTAAGTCAAATGACCAAGACAATAGTCACGCCCCGTCTATCTCAGTCATTTGACTTAGTCACACCTCGTCTGTGTCTGTCATATGACTCGGTCACGCCTCGCCTGTCTCGGTCATCTCACTTAGTCACGCTTCGCCTGTCTCCGTCAACTGGCTTAGTCACGCCTTGGTTGTCTCGGTCATTTGACTTGGTCATGCTTAGCTTAACTCAATCATTTTGCTTAGTGTTGACCTGGTCCCTGCTTAGCTCCAATAACTGGTCAACATGCCTTTTGAATTGACCAAAATGATCAGGTATTAGTAACACTAGTTCAAATGGAAGAAAATCTGAACTAGATTGTTCATCTCAATTGTGATGCTAAGAGAAAGCTATTATTTATATATATATATAATATTATTTTAATGATAAATATTAGTGGTTGAAATATAAGGATACATTTATATTTATATAAACTTTACTACTCATATAATAATTATATATATAGATATATATTTATCAGTTATTATAAAATATATGAATATATACATTTAAAATTTTGTTGGGTACTTGCATATGCTTACTAGGGGTGAGCAGTACATGACCCTATCTGCTCATCCTAATTTGGCCTAATTTGATCAGCCTGAATATGGTCGAGTCTAGTCGGGTATAAGACCAAGTTCAAGTTTAAAAATTAGACCTGATCGATATTTAGGGTCGGGTTGAGGACAAATATGACCGACCTCACGGTTATTCACTCATCCTGTTTGTATCTGTCTCTATTTCATTATATACAGAATAATGACATATTTATGATAGAAAATATAATTGATTCTCTAATTTTTTTTGTTATTTATACATGATTAACATTATATGTACATATATTGTTTCATATATCAAATTACATATTCATAATAATATATAATATTAAGAAATTTTTAATTAAATGAATATGCATTATATTTAATCGGATCTATGGACAGGTTGATATGCTGACCCGATCGACATTTACAGTCAAATTAGCTTCAAGTCTAAGTCAGAGTCTGAATTCAAAAAATGACTCAAACAAGATTTAGAATTGGAAAGAGGATAAGCTTTACCCGATCCTACATGACTCTTTCTCACCCCCTAATAGTTACTACGTGTATATTACCCACAAATATAATAGATATGAGCACCTTGTAGTATCTCTGTATATAATGTACAAAATATATTTTAAAAGCCATGTAATGAGAATAGGTATGTACAAAATATATACAGAGGAAATAAAATACACACCCATGAAAGGAATATTTTAAAAGACATTTTTATTAAACAAAATTCTATACATAATGTTCCCATTAGCTATTGTATCTTTAAAAAGGAAACGTGTCATATAATACTTGAACCAGAAAAATGAAACTTTATAATCAATAATAATGCTAAAAAAATCTATTTTTTCTCCTGTTAAAGTTTCGGCCAGGTCAGGATTTTTTATTTTATAAACTCAGTCTTATCATTTTAATGTATATACTTTTTTTGGAAAATCTCTGGGAAAGCCTTTAGGTTAAATAAGTGACTCTAATGAATGATATTACATACATAGTAATGAAAGAGAAAAGAAAAGGGTATATATTACCAATATAACAGTTTTATATATCATAAAGTTATTATTCATCATTCATTTTTAATCATTATTAATTACTTAAAAATATAATCAAAGTCAAAACTAATATAATGATTATATAAAAAAATTTATATTGGCAAATGATAATGTACATACTATATATATACTTTCTCATACAATATTATTTTTACCATTCAAAAAATCCATGGAGGAATAAAGTTGAGAATGAACAGCGCGAAAAGCACAACGTTAATGGGGGCCCATGAGAAATTTGTCCACTTAATTTGTTGGCGAAATAGCATTGGTCCTGAAACATTTTTCAAATACATGGATAACCACAATATTACCGACCAGCCTGATTCTTGCACATTTTTGGAATGAGATGCTGCTAGCTCGTGACCACCCGCACACATTGGAAAGATCCTTGTTTTTCGTCTCACACCTCCTTGTAATTAATAATTTTTTTTGAGGATTCATTTACTCTACATATTGTCCATCAATTTGAGAGAAATTCAATTATTTGAATTAGTAAATAAATTTAAACCATTTAATTTCTCTAGAATTGACGGCTAAATGAATTTCTCCTCTAATTTTTTATTATTTTTATTGTGGACTTTAGTTAATTTCCACTTTATGCTTTAACATATTGATTAAACTTAATATAAAAAGTCAAAAAATTTTATAAGTACCAAATATAATTTATTTTTTCCTTATTTTATATTTAATATTTTTTAATTTCTATAAAAAACAATATCATCATAAGTAATCACCTCAATGCATTAATTGCAATCGCAAGTTGAAACCACCCAAACTACAAAAGAATATAAATATTATACAAACTACATCAAATATAAAATATCATAATATAAAAGTATATCCAATATAAAAATATATTATAATTCTCCAAAAATGAAATATTTAAAAATTGAATACGTAATACCATATAATAAGAATATGTCGTGTTTATCAACTATATAATCTCACGTAACCAAAATATAACGTAACTACTATTATGATATAATTCATATTTTCCTATTTTGTCTTTAATATTTTTAATTTAAACAATAAATCATATAGTCCTAGTTAATTTACCGTAAACATATTAATCTATATACTACATAAAAAAAAAGGTTCTTTCATGTCATCCCATGACAAGTGTCACAATCTCAACAAAAAATTTTCCTCCCAACTTTGTTAATGTACAACCTCTCACACAATATAAAATATATCATACTTATTCATTACCAATTATATTATTTAATACCATATAATAATAAAAATGACACCCACAATAAATACACATCACTTTGTACAACCTCTCACTTAGGATAAAATATATACTACATATTGTTTATTACTCAATACATTATTTAATAAGATATAATAATAATAATAGAATTGAATAGTTTTATTGATGAAAATATAATTATTTTATAAAATTATTCTTGAATTGGTAAT